CAACCAATACAAAAGGGAACCTTGAACCTTCTGGCGCAAGATCAAACGGCTCCTGGGATCGGCTAATCCCTGTCTCACTCACTTAGTACACACACTCTTAGACGAAGATGACGAGGAACAACAAGCAAAAATAGAAGACCCTCAAGAGCAGGCTGATCTCATGGGAACATATGGAAGGAGACACTCACGGCTTCAAATAGCAGAGCCTTCAACAACTTACATTTCAACCGTGTCAATCAATGGACCACAGAGAACGCCGCCTCACTACTCAGCACCTCCTTTGATAGACCTAACCATCCTCCAAATCGACCACCCCCTAACAAGACCTATATCAATAATAGAGATGAGAGGGGTCGTGAAGAGCATCCGTAATAAGGTCCCAGAACCATCGGGGATCAAAGCAAAGCAGATCCAACTCCATCTAGGCAATCTCCTGCACTCCCTACTCATCATATTCAACGCCATGCTGGCATCTGGCCACATCCCCGTAGCCTTTAAAACGGCCAAGATAATATTTATTCCCAAACCCAAGAAAGACCCCCACCAGCCTGGCAACTACCGCCCAATCTCCCTTTCAGACACAATAGGTAAGTGTTTTGAAAAAACAATGTCCAACCGTCTCAACTACTATATGTACAACAATCTCTTCACGGAAAAAAACAGTTCGGTTTGCGAGCACAACGGTCAACCCACTACGCAATAAACATCATCTATGATGCTGTCAGCTCAATTCGCCAGCAAAAACAGGTAGTCCTGATTGCAACGTGAGACATACACAAGACCTTCGACAGCCTATGGCACGATGGTCTTGTGTACAAACTAGCAGACTTACCAGCCCAAAACTGGATCCTCCTCAGATTACTCAGAAATTTCCTTAGGAACAGACAAGTTACTCCTAGCTTCAAGGCGAAATTGGCAGCAGTCTTCACCCCAACAGTTGGAATCCCCTAAGGGTCCTGCCTGAGCCCGGTCCTCTTCAACATTTTCGTAAATGACCTGCCCCATCCAGAGTACAGAGACACCATCATCGTCCAATTTGGTGACGACATAACACATGTAATAACATCCAACCCAAGCATCCAAACACATGGCTGTAACCCGTAAGGTGAACATACAACTAGGTAGGACTGGGAAAGAAAATGGAGGATAACCACTAACCCAGATAAGATCCAAATAAACACTGTCGGCTGTGTGATTTACCCAATCGAAGATGAGGGTGGGGGAATAAGGATCAGGAGTGAACACATAGCCATCTCAAACTCCAGTATAGTGCTTGGATACTACTTCAACAGGCTAGTTAACTACTTAACTCCAGCCAGTAAGGCTCAGAAAAAAAGTGATTGCTAAGGGTTCCCTGTCGAAGCTATTCCGCTTCAGGCAAGCTCCCATCCCACGTCAAGCTCCACCTGTATAGAATGATTATAAGGCCTAGCCTTGAGTATCCTAACGTCCCCCTGAACCTCACCAACAAAACCAACATGCTGAAGATCCAACGGGTCCAAAACAAAGCATTTCGCTTCGCAGTGGTCTGTCGCTAGTGGACAGGGCAAGAACAGACCAGATCCGTGAGACTCTCAGCATGATGTCAATGAACCCCAGGCTCAGCTACTTGGCCAGAGGCATCTGTAACGCATGAAGCACATGTATGACTCAGATCCCGAAGAATTCCCACGAAGCAAAAAACACAACCAGTGACTATGAGATCCAAGAACCACCACACAGAACCAGAAGAATCACTCTCCAACAAAAAGTGATCAGACACATCCATGATCAGGCTTTCCCGAGACCTGAAATACTAAGTGGTCTGCCAGATGAGTGGACCATCCCGGACCCGATTTATACTAAAAAAAAACAGAAAATAGTACAAACAACCAATAACAAAAACCCTTTTTGGTGCTACCAGAAGAGTAACCACCCAAATGCTGCTAAGATTAATCTCCTGCAGCCAACTCCAACGGCTCTAGGGTTTCCAGACACCAGTTAGGACACAAACACTAGCCACCCAGCCAATGTGCCGACAACCCAACATACCACACACCAAAACAAATGACACACACATGCCAATCCATGGAGGACAGGCAACCGAACTTCCAAACTTCCTCTCTGTCTAGACCCACATCCTCTTCCAGAATTTCACCTCCTACTTCCCCCATCCTTTTTCAAACCTTTTGGACATCAAAGCTCAAGGCATATACAACAGAAAAAAATCAACCATCGCACAGGTTGGCTACTCTGACGAGAATACATGAACTCACACACTCAGTCAGACACACAGGAATTGGGAGGTACATGTCAGCGACCCAGCTGCCACTTACGCAACTACCAGTTACCCACTTGGACTCCTTGTCTGGCTGTTGGTGGGAACAGACGTGTTGTTGAGAGGTCCAGTGTTCGTCGGCCTGTGGTTGAGAGCGGTTGTTGGTGGTGCGCACTGTTGCGGGGCCGTATTGTCCAGTGATATGGGGTTACCTTTGCCCACTGTCCCGAGGAAGGATATGATTGGCCTGAAATTCACCCGACAGGCATCTTACCCTGCTGCTGAAGTTGTGCTGTTGAGCTTTTTGCTGGTAAATGTGATGGAGGTCTGTGGAGTACAGCTTGTCGCCGGTCACCGGGCTGTGGTGAAGTTTGGATCCACGGCTGTCTACAAAGGATTCGTGGATTGTTATGATGGGCGATCGTGATGGGCGATCCCGCTGCCTGTGGGTGGTGGTTCTGTGATGGTGTCAGTTCGATGCGGTGAGACCAGGTATGTTGCTGTGCATAGGGCTCCGTTTGAGATCCCTGGGGATCTTCTGCGGCATTATTTTGCCCGGTTTGGGCCGGTGCTGAGTGTGCGGATGAACATCATCTTCAACAGGAGGTGGAAGGGTGTCCTGAGTGGGACCCACACATTGGCTATGGGCCTGAAGTCCCTTATACCGTCGTCGGTCCTGCTTATAGGGTTCTATGTCTGGGTGTTCTATGCTGACCAACTCTGGACTTGCTTCTGGTACAGGTTGTCAGGGCACCAAGCTCCAGGTTGCAGTTCTGGCAGGTCTCACCAATGAACCTCTTTCGGGAGGAGAACTTTCCCCCGCTGGAGGGCTTGGTGAACTATGTGTGATGCCGATGTGAACGCTGTCTCCCGCCCTTTGGGTGGCCTGGTGGTGTCGCTGGTCTTTGCTGACCACTCGATTAGCTGTGTGGATGTCGCGGCCGTGGAGTGTATGGTTCTGCCCCCACCGCCCACTTCCCTACTTACTCCACCCCCGTCTCTGGCTGCGTTGCCAGGGGCTGTGTGTGTGTCCTTGTGGATGTTCCTGCTGTGGTGTGTGGTATTGTGTCTCCGGTGGTTGAGGCGACTGCGGTGTTACATGTCCGTCTGATGCGTGACTGTGTGCAGTCTCCCAGTGTTCCTGCTGTGGCGCCTGTGTTGATGATAGTTCTGCCAACTAGTACCCAGTGTCAAAGCGTTCCTGTCGGGCTCTTTGTTTGTCTCTCCCGTGGGTGTCGCCTGAGCGGACGTGGTGGACACCGAGGATACGTCTGCTGCTGAGGATGCGACTCTTGCACAGCCTGCAGGTTGTATTGCCGTCATCGTGGAGGGTGCCTCCTGTTGTGGGAATGGTGACAGTGTGGTGGCCTCGGTCCCTGCTCCTGTGCCCGCCCAATGCGCCCGAGTGTGAGTGTTCCCTGGAATGGGGGATTGTTACCCCTGCTGAGTGGTGATTTGCGTTTGATTTTGAAGAAAGATGCACCCTCCGTGTTGCACCCCTTTGTTGCCCTGCCCCCCGTGCAGCTGGCCCCGGTGCCGCCGACCCCTGTGTCGCAGATCATTGCCTCTTGTGCAGTCGCCCTTCGTGCTGCACCCCCCTGTGCATTCTTGTATGTCCCAGTCTTCTGTGTTCCAGCTGAACGTGCCTCTGCCTGCTATGCAAACACCCCCCCCTATGGTGATGGTTCGTCGCCCTGGACATCGTGTACCTGTTTTTAATGTGTTTAGTTTTTTCTGCTTTGTTGTTAATAATTTTGTGTTGTTTTCCTGTGCTGTGTGTGTGTGGTATTATTGTGTTCTGATGTGGTGCTTTAGTGCCATTTTTATGTTTATATTTATGTAGCTTGGTTGTTTATCAATAAAAAAAAAAGTTACCCACTCATACAACAACAATGAAATTTAACATAATACAATATAATATCACAATACACGTGTGCATAATGAAAGTCCAACACATATATGCATAAATTTAAATACTGCAGCAGTGTAAATTTGTAATAGTAGTACATTAACAATTACAGGTATGACCTCAGTGTATCAAGTCTGAACGGGTTAGGCTGGGTCATAACACCACCCTTCTCTTTCTTGCCTAATTATTGTCGCCTGGTCAGAGAATTCTATTAAACCTGTGAGGAACGGTTTACTATCCCTGAACCCATGCTGATGGTGTGTTACAAAGATCCTTCCCTCCAGATGTTCCACAAGCTTTTCCTCGCCATCTTCTCCATCACCTTGCATGGTTTACATTACATAGTGTGTTGTGGGTGTCCTGTGTGTGTGTGAAGGTGTTGTGAGTGTTCTGTACTTCTGTGTGAAGGTGTGTTGTGAGTGTCGTGTGTGTGAAGGTGTATGAGAATACATACACTATACTAACAGTCAACGTCGACAGCAATTTTTTATAATGATTTTAATTAAGCCCATGTTGTCTTATTGATCCGGTAGTGTAGTTTGTACTGGCTGAATAGTTTGTGGTGGCCTGATAACCTCACACGTGGCGCCGCTCCCTGTTTCAATACCCGGAGCTATACCTTTGTATTTAACTCCTAACTTTTCATTTTCATAACAGCAATTCGTGAAATATATAGGCCGTAGTCAAATAAAATACATTTAGAGACCTGCGGTAATTATACGTTTATGATCTTAAGTTCAGTGACTGATTAAGGTTTCTCTAGTACTGGAAGCTGTCAGACTACATGTCCTTCGTGTTTGTAAATATTTGACCTTATGACCTGTGCTTGTGCAGGCACCAATCTGTTGCAGGTGGCGGCGCACGAGTTCGGCCACTCGCTGGGTCTGGCTCACTCTAAGGTCAGCAATTCTCTCATGGCTCCCTTCTATAAGGGTTACGATCCTAATTTCGCCCTCCACAGCGACGACATAAAAGGTATCCAGGTGTGTGCTGAAGACTGCTTTGTTATATATATATATATATATATATATATATGACAATGTCAGACCACGGAGGAAAAATGAAACAGGAATGACCACGTCAGACCTCCGTGGTCTAACATTGTCACATTTTTAATCACGTCTTTATTTTCGTGATATACACACACACACACATACATATTATATATATATATATGTCGTACCTAGTAGCCAGAACGCACTTCTCAGCCTACTATGCATGGCCCGATTTGCCTAATAAGCCAAGTTTTCATGAATTTATTGTATTTCGACTACCTAACCTACCTAACCTAACCTAACGTTTTCCGCTACCTAACCTAACCTAACCTATAAAGATAGGTTAGGTTAGGTTAGGGAGGGTTGGTTAGGTTTGGTCATATATCTACGTTAATTTTAACTCCAATAAAAAAAATTGATCTCATATATAATGAAATGGGTAGCTTTATCATTTCATAAGAAAAAAATTAGAGAAAATATATTAATTAAAGAAAACTTGGCTTATTAGGCAAATCGGGCCTTGCATAGTAGGCCAAAAAGTGAGTTCTGGCTACTAGGTACGACATATATATATATATATATATATATATATATATATATATATATATATATATATATATATATATATATATATATATATATATATATGTCGTACCTAGTAGCCAGAACGCACTTCTCAGCCTACAATTCAGAGCCCGATTTGCCTAATAAGCCAAGTTTTCCTGAATTAATATATTTTCTCAAATTTTTTTCTAATGAAATGATAAAGCTACCCATTTCATTATGTATGAGGTCAATTTTTTTTTATTGGAGTTAAAATTAACGTAGATATATGACCGAACCTAACCAACCCTACCTAACCTAACGTAACCTATCTTTATGGGTTAGGTTAGGTTAGGTAGCCGAAAAAGCTAGGTTAGGTTAGGTTAGGTAGGTTAGGTAGTCGAAAAACAATTATTTCATGAAAACTTGGCTTATTAGGCAAATCGGGCCTTGCATAGTAGGCTGAGAAATGAGTTCTGGCTACTAGGTACGACATATATATATATATATATATATATATATATATATATATATATATATATATATATATGTCGTACCTAGTAGCCAGAACGCACTTCTCAGCCTACTATGCAAGGCCCGATTTGCCTAATAAGCCAAGTTTTCATGAATTAACTGTTTTTCAACTACCTAACCTACCTAACCTAACCTAACCTAACTTTTTCGGTTACCTAACCTAACCTATAAAGATAGGTTAGGTTAGGTAAGGTTTGTTAGGTTCGGTCATCTACGTGAATTTTAACTCCAATAAAAAAAATTGACCTCATACATAATAAAATGGGTAGTTTTATCATTTCATAAGGAAAAAATTAGAGAAAATATATTAATTCAGGAAAACTTGGCTTATTAGGCAAATCGGGCCTTGCATAGTAGGCCGAGAAGTGCATTCTGGCTACTAGGTACGACATATATATATATAATATATATATATGTCGTATATATATATATATATATATATATATATATATATATATATATATATATATATATATATATATATATATATATATATATATATATATATATATAGCTGTATCTGTCCAGACTGAAACAACATTAAAAGTATTGTATTGTTTACAGTGACAATTATGGGATCATCTACTAATCTCTGAACCTCTACATGTCCAGTGCAAATAGTTGAGTCATTCCCGACATAACGAGAGAAACTTCCGTCGTTGGAATGAACGTTTTGCATATTTATTATCTTGTTCAAAGCCGTCCGAGACAAACCTGGAGGTAGTGAGAGTGTATAATTCCTGACGTTATTGCAGGCGCTCTACGGCAAGCCTGGGAGCAGTCAGAGAACCGCCAGTGGGTCTGGGGAGAGTGGCGGGCAGGAGGAAGGCTCCGGACCAAGCGGTGACTTGTGTAATAATGAAAGCATCAACACTATGTTTACCTCAGCCGAGGGTACAGTGTACGTCTTCAAGGGTGAGTCCACACCACGCCTCCTGCTTCTATCTCTCAGCCTTTATCTCACAAAACTACATAACAGGAAACCTACATTCCTACCAGCTTTCACTATATATCTACATCATTTACTGCACTCTGCATGAATTCTATGAATATATAATGACTGCGGCATTCATGCCACACTCCCCAGGAGACAAGTACTGGCTGCTGACCGGCTCCGGTGTTGCTAAGGGCTACCCAAGACCCATCACAGACCAGTGGGAGGAGCTGCCCAGTGACTTGGATGCTGCCTTCACATGGAGTAATGGAAGAACATATTTCTTTAAGGTAATTCTCAAGCAAACACGGTCACGACTGGCAAGAGAAATCTGCCTCTTGACATATATTTCTTGTATATAGATATACTTCTGGACCAGGATGAACATTGGCAGAAATGTTTCATCTCTGGAAACACACTGTCATTTGATCATTTGATTAATTAAATAATATATATGTATATATATGACAGTGCCAGACCACGGAGGAAAATTGAAACAGGAATTTTCTTAAGTACTTTCGTATATTAATATATCTACAGAAGGAGTGGTTTTACAGGTCGAGTACTGGACATAAATAGGCAAGAAGGAAGGAAGGAAGGAAACTATCAGGGAAAAGCGCCAAGCCATTACGAATAGGCAGGAGAGAATGGTGGAGTGAGGTGAGGTACAATAAGTGGACACAAATATGAGCCGCACAAAAACTGCAGAGGGCTTATTGACCCATCCGATGCAGCTCCCATTCATAACCACACACAGGCCCACACATGGATAATCATAGCATAAGATAGTAAATATTTACAATAAATTAGTGAGACAAATGTGTTCCAATGATCCTACTCAAATCGCCCTTTAATTGATCTATTAAAATTGGATCTAAGTTATATAAACCACTGCTAATGTTCAAATTACTTTCTTTTGTGATCTGTATCAAAGCAGATTCAATTATGTTTCTGTTATAGGTGCTTTTACAATTCGTTATTGAAGAAGCCATCTCCCAGTCAATTTGGTGAGCATCTTCTGACAAATGAACGAACAAAGCATTAGACAATTGGCCATGTCTTACAGAGTATTTATGTTGCGAAATTCTACATTTCAAATCTTTAGATGTTGGCCCAACATAGAACTTATTACAGTCTTTACAAGGTATTTTATAAATGACACAATTATCACTACGAGGGCTGTTTCTAACTAATAGCTTACCAACAGTATTTTCGTAGCTAAATAATACATGTAAATCAAAAAGTTTCAAGGCCTTCACAATATTCTCAAACCCAGAGAAATATGGTAAACATAACACATTCTTTGGTCGATTTTTGTCTCTGCATATATTATTATTATATGCACGACGTTTTTTGCTAAAGCAAACTTCCAAAAATACATCTAAAGATTTAAAATGTAGAATTTCGCAATATAAATACTCTGTAAGACATGGCCAATTGTCTAATGCTTTGTTCGTTCATTTGTCAGAAGATGCTCACCAAATTGATTGGGACATAGCTTCTTCAATAATGAATTGTAAAAACACCTATAACAGAAACACAATTGAATCTGCTTTGATACAGATCACAAAAGAAAGTAATTTGAACATTAGCAGTGGCTTATATAACTTAGATCCATTTTTGATAGATCAATTAAAGGGCGATTTGAGTAGGATCAATGGAACACATTTGTCTCACTAATTTATTGTAAATATTTACTTATTGTAAATATTTATCTTATGCTATGATTATCCATGTGTCCAAGTGTGGGCCTGTGTGTGTGGTTATGAATGGGAACTGCATCGGATAGGCCAAAAAGCCCTCTGCAGTTTTTATGCGGCTCATATGTGTCCAATTATTGTACCTCGCCTCACTCCACCATTCTCTCCTGCCTATTTATGTCCAGTACTCGACCTGTAAAACCACTCCTTCTGAAGATGTATTAATATACGAAAGTACTTAAGGAAATTCCTGTTTCAGTTTTCCTCCGTGGTCTGACACTGTCACATTTTTAATCACGTGTTTATTTTTCGTGATTTACACACATGTGTGTGTGCATATATATATATATATATATATATATATATATATATATATATATATATATATATATATATATATATATATATATATATATATATATATATATATATATATATATATATATATATATATATATATATATATATGTTTCATTGAATATGACCGCATATTCTGTATTAATTATTTTCTGGTTTAGGGCTTCTATCCCTCTAACTATTTTCTTAGCATCAGGGCTTAATTCAAATAGGAGTTCTCCAAAACTCATTTTCGTACTTTTAAGGTGAAGAAAAGAAGTGATTTACTATAGAGTGTATTACACTTATTTGTATAATTTGCACGACGTTTCGAACCTCCATGGTTCATTCTCAAGTGAACAGATCTTACATTACTAGTTGATTTTATACCCGCATTAGGTCAGGTGATAATACAATGAAGGTGAAAACATGGGGGGATACATAAGGGATAAACATAGGGGCTGCAGAAGGCTTATTGGCCCATACGAGGCATCTCCTATCCAAACACAAAGATTAATCCAGTGTAATTGGCCTGTTATGTTGGACATTATCTTCTGTGTTGGCATCGATATGTTCTTGTCTTGTCCTTACTCTCATGGTGGGTAGAGTAAATAGTTCCGTGATTTGGGTGTTCATGGTAGGTCGCTCTATTCTTATGTGAATTGCCTCAAGAATTTGTAATCTTCTTGAATCTTGGGTTTTGTCTATTATGCAGGTATTCTTGTTCAACATTTCTCTTGTTAGAGTAATGTATTATTGTATTATCATTGTATTATCACCTGACCTAATGCGGGTATAAAATCAACTAGTAATGTAAGATCTGTTCACTTGAGAATGAACCATGGAGGTTCGAAACGTCGTGCAAATTATACAAATAAGTGTAATACACTCTATAGTAAATCACTTCTTTTCTTCACCTTAAAAGTACGAAAATGAGTTTTGGAGAACTCCTATTTGAATTAAGCCCTGATGCTAAGAAAATAGTTAGAGGGATAGAAGCCCTAAACCAGAAAATAATTAATACAGAATATGCGGTCATATTCAATGAAACATGTTTGAAAGAAAACCTGCTGCCAGTATACACCAATATATATATATATATATATATATATATATATATATATATATATATATATATATATATATATATATATATATATATATATATATATATATATATATATATATATATGTCGTACCTAGTAGCCAGAACTCACTTATCAGCCTACTATGCAAGGCCCGATTTGCTTAATAAGCCAAGTTTTCCTGAATTAATATATTTTCTCTATTTTTTTCTGATGAAATGATAAAGCTACCCATTTCATTATGTATGAGGTCAATTTTTTTATTGGAGTTAAAATTAACGTAGATATATGACCGAACCTAACCAACCTAACCTAACCTAACCTATCTTTAAAGGTTAGGTTAGGTTAAGTAGCCGAAAGAGTTAGGTTAGGTTTATATATATATATATATATATATATATATATATATATATATATATATATATATATATATATATATATATATATATATATATATATATATATATATATATATATGTCGTACCTAATAGCCAGAACGCACTTCTCAGCCTACTATTCAAGGCCCGATTTGCCTAATAAGCCAAGTTTTCATGAATTAATGTTTTTTCGTCTACCTAACCTACCTAACCTAACCTAACCTAACCTAGCTTTTTTTGGCTACCTAACCTAACCTTACCTATAAATATAGGTTAGGTTAGGTTAGGTAGGGTTGGTTAGGTTCGGTCATATATCTACGTTAATTTTAACTCCAATAACATAAAATTGACCTCATACATAGAGAAAAGGGTTGCTTTATCATTTCATAAGAAAAAAAATATAGTAAATATATTAATTCAGGAAAACTTGGCTTATTAGGCAAATCGGGCCTTGAATAGTAGGCTGAGAAGTGCGTTCTGGCTACTAGGTACGACATATATATATATATATATATATATATATATATATATATATATATATATATATATATATATATATATATATATATATATATATATATATATATGCGAACAAGCCAGAATGGTCCCCTGGACAATATGCAACTGTTATATATATATATATATATATATATATATATATATATATATATATATATATATATGTCGTACCTAGTAGCCAGAACTCACTTCTCAGCCTACTATTCAAGGCCCGATTTGCCTAATAAGCCAAGTTTTCCTGAATTAATATATTTACTACAATTTTTTTCTTATGAAATGATAAAGCTACCCTTTTCACTATGTATGAGGTCAATTTTTTTATTGGAGTTAAAATTAACGTAGATATATGACCGAACCAAACCAACCCTACCTAACCTAACCTAACCTATATATATAGGTAAGGTTAGGTTAGGTAGCCAAAAAAAGCTAGGTTAGGTTAGGTTAGGTAGGTTAGGTAGACGAAAAAACATTAATTCATGAAAACTTGGCTTATTAGGCAAATCGGGCCTTACATAGTAGGCTGAGAAGTGAGTTCTGGCTACTAGGTACGACATATATATATATATATATATATATATATATATATATGTCGTACCTAGTAGCCAGAACTCACTTCTCAGCCTACTATGCAAGGCCCGATTTGCCTAATAAGCCAAGTTTTCCAGAAATAATAAATGTCTTCTAATTTTTTTCTTATGAAATGATAAAGCTAGCCATTTCATGATGTATGAGGTCAATTTTTTTTTATTGGTGTTAAAATTAACGTAGATATATGACCGAACCTAACCAACCCTACCTAACCTAACCTAACCTATCTTTATAGGTTAGGTTAGGTTAGGTAGCTGAAAAAGGTAAGTTAGGTTAGGTTAGGTAGGTTAGGTAGTCGAAAAACAATTAATTCATGAAAACTTGGCTTATTAAGCAAATCGGGCCTTGCATAGTAGGCTGAGAAATGAGTTCTGGCTACTAAGTACGACATATATATATATATATATATATATATATATATATATATATATATATATATATATATATATATATATATATATATATGTCGTACCTAGTAGCCAGAATGCACTTCTCGGCCTACTATGCACGGCCCGATTTGCCTAATAAGCCAAGTTTTCTTCGATTAATATATTTTCTCTATTTTTTTTCTTATGAAATGATAAAGCTACCCATTTCATTATGTATGAGGTCAATTTTTTTTTATTGGAGTTAAAATTAACGTAGATATATGACCGAACCTAACCAACCCTACCTAACCTAACCT